CATGCCTGTGGATGTATTTTTGGTTGTCATTCTTGGTGGGATGCTTCTGGTATCTAATGGATAAAGGCCAGAGATGTTGATAAAATCTACCATGACTGAGTTAGTGTTAAAAACAAAACAGTTTTAAAAGAAATTTTGGGCTAAGGAGACTAACACATTTGTTTAAGAACAATATTAGAGCCTGTGATTCCCCAAGGAGCATACAACTTTGGTCAAAGGACAATAATATATAATTACTCAGGTCACCAATGCAGACCTACTGTGGGCAGGGTATGCTGGGTTGAGATTACATAATGAACAAAACTTTAGATGAAGGGACTGGATGGACTCAGGTACATGCCAGCTCCCAAGGCTTTGCCACCTAATGGCCTAAGACTTCAGACAAATTTCTTTCCTCCTCTTTTCCTTAGTAAAATGATACAGATGGCAACACCCTCTCTGCCTGTCATACAGAGTTAACAGTAGGTACTAGTATGAGAAAGGGTTCAAAAAAAATAATTTGTAACTCAGGTGGGCTCAGAGTGTCATAGCTTCTGCTTGAAGGAAGTCTATAAATTCAGAGGCCATGGCTGGTCTACATGGGGCCACAGGAAAACTGACAGAGGCGGAGTAACGGCCATGTGTCCTGGGGACTTCTACTCACTCCCAGGCTGTTTACTTGACAAGAAATGATGATTAATTTCCATTCCTCTTTATGAGCCATGGCTAGGGTGGAGCCAGTCTCTTGGCTTCTTGGAATGAACTGTGTGCTTCAGGGGCAAAAGGGATGAAAGGGAGGGAGCCAGCCTGGTTACATGGAACAAAAAAGCATTGGAACTGACTTCCCTTTGAGAGGCAGTGTGGATGAGTTATCGCCTCTACTCCCTGGGGTGTACCCTGGGGTGTACACTCCCACACAAATTTTCTTGCTTGAGTATGCAGAAGGCAGTATGGGAGCAAACAGGGAGCTGGGGTACAGTAGGGAGGAGGGAGGACCTACAGCCAGAGCATGTGACTGAGTCACAGAGGGATGAAAGGAATCAAGTTAGTGCACTGAAGATCCATTCACAGGCGCAGAACACCAAACCAGGGCACAGTCCTTTCCACACTCAGGATGCCTTTCCACACCCCAAACCTCAGAGAGGGGTGGGGTTCACCAATGACTCTACTGCTTCAAGCTCCTGTCCCTCAGGAGTGACCACATGACAGGGCCACATGACCTTCTTCAGAGGCATATCTACAAAGCACACAGTCCAATCCTGATAACCAACTGCTCTCTCTCCTTCCCTCCTGGCTGCTCTTATGCTTTAACTTCTATACCGGCTAAGTGGAGGTGAGGAAAGGGGGATTGGGGAGGAGAGGGCACATGGTGTATATGGGGACTTAGGGGGTGTAACAGCAGTGCCTCCCCAGAAAGACTCGGTTCATTCACTCCCTCTCACTGGCCTCACAGTTTCTGGTTAACAAACGGAAGACAGAGTAGAGCCAGAGAGTAAAGGAACTCACTGGGGTCACAGAGATGCCTTTGACATCAGGAGCCTGGCCACAGCATTAGCCAAGAGTGAACAGACTCTGGGAAGCCGCTGCTAAGCTCCAGGCACTTGGAGGGTTGGGTGGGGCCATAGGAACAGGATGTGGCCTATGAGTGCAGTCTTCTCAGTCAGAGAGCCAGAGCTATAACGGCACACACCTGTAATGTCAGCACTCAGAATGTGCAGGTCAGGAGTTCAAGACCATCCTCAGCTGTGCAGAGAGTTTAAAAAGGAATGGCAGCTCCAAGTACCAATCAGACAGCCCCACAGGCGTGATCCAGGCTCCAGCCAGGACAAGCCCCTTTTGCTTTCCATGCCTCCGTTTCCCATATGTGCAGAGAGGCTAAGCAAGGTCTACCTCAGAGAACTGTGGGAAGACTAAGATATGTAAGCAAAGCACCTAACAAATGCCTGCTGGAAACTAGCTTGTAGGTGAGTGACACCAATTGTTATAAAGATTATTTACTAAATGAACAGCTAGAGAGAGGCTATTCATTACAACTGTCCTTGCCTACAGGTTTTACTGTACAAGGATCCATATATAAAATCCTTGCTTTCGTCTGTGTCCTGCTGATTGTCCTGTTGACTCCTAAGTTCTACAAAATGTATAAATGGTAATAAAGCTGGGTATTGTGGCACGCCCCTTTAATCCTAGCACTCAGAGGCAGAGGCAGGAGAATCTCTTTGAGTTTGAGGCCAGCCTGGTCCACATAGGGAGTTCCAGGACAGCCTGAGCTACAGAGTGAGATAGCCTGAGCTACAGAGTGAGTCTTGAAACTCCTCCACCACCTCAAACAAACAAAAAAAGGTAAATACTGGTTTGCTTTAAGGTCTCCAACCAACCAGATCTGCAGAAAGACAATTTATGAACGAATGAATGAATGAATGGATGAATGAATGTGGCTCTTCTAATGACAGCTTTATTTATAGAAACAGGCCATAGCCAGTCTGCTGTGGAGGTTCACAATGGGCTTCATAAGGTGCTGATAGCCTTAAACAAATGACCCCTGACCTTCCCTCAAGGCTCCAAGGCAGAGAACTGCCAGAGGTGGGGTGGGCATGGGAGGGATGTAAGCATCCCAGTCACAGTAAGGCCAGGACAGTGGCAGACCCAAGTTACAGTCTCCTGGCAGTAAAAAGAGGAACCAGGTTTCTACACACTGTCTCTGAAACTGATGGCCAGCAACTGAAGAAGGACCAAAAAAATAACACCAGATGTGGAAGGGGGTGGGCAGCTGGGCTCCTCAGTGCCTGTGTGCTCTGGAGAGCCCAGGGCTGTGGACAGCTCTGTCCTGAGCAGAGAGCTGCCTGGACTTTCTGGGCCTTCAGATCCATGTGCTGTGTCAAATGGGGACCCCAACACTCTTGGCCTTGTAGATAAGAGACTAAAATAAGAAAAATTAAAGGTGTAGAACTTATATCCAGGCTAGCAGCCTATCCACCCATGAACTTCATTAAAAAAAATACTAAAAGTGGCTGACAGTGTTCCTGGTTTTGATGCTCTAAGCAATTGTGACCCCAGCATCCTGGCAGGTGCTCATTTATAGTTTAATACCCACTGTGCTGCCAGGCAGACATGGTTCTGCCTGCTATTTCACAAGTGGAGAACAGATCTGGAGAAGGGACACGCTCCTGGCCACACAGGCTCTGGCAGCAGAATGTGCACTGGCTCCCCAAAAAACTGGCTGGTTTTCATGGAGGGCATTACACAGGCAAGATTGGTGAAAGCCGGTGATCACTGCTGACCAACTTAATCTTTAGCCTCTCACTGGCCCTTTACAGGGAAAACCTGTGGCCCCTGTTCTAGAAAATCACCAGGGACATTTTCGAGTCTCTTGTCTGTGTTTTCCAATGCTTACACATATAGATTTATTTTTTTCCCTTCTAAAAAAAGAAACAACGAAATCCTATTCTAAAGTACATACTGCTTGTAGCTATGAGCCTCTCACTGTCCTGGCTGCCTTTCTTTCTCCCAAAGTTTCCCATTGTTGGTGGGGAGGGGAATTTGGGTGAGTCCATTACTCTTGAAGTCAACCCAGGGCTGGGTGGACACAGATACACAATGACCTGTGGCCTGCAGGTGAAAAAAGGCTTTAGCTGGGCCCTAGGTAGAGACTCACAGGAATCAGGGAAAACTGATCTCTGGGAGAGGGCTCTGGCAAATAAAGCTTAGGAAACAATGAGTAGAAAGACAGACTCTTGAGACAGGAGGCCAAACAGAGCAGGTAGTAGCCCTTTAGGAGGAGACAAAGAGCTGTAAAGATCTCTAGGCCATATTTGATCTGTATGTGTGGGTGCTCCAAGTGCTTTGGGCCTCCAGCACAGCAGGGGTCAGTGTTTCTATCCAAGAGCAACCTGTTGGACCAAACATCCCTGAACAGTCACAGCTACATCACTTTCAGGATGTGGGATGCCTCTAAACTCTGTCTTCATTACCCGGAATAAAGAAAGGGAAGTGGAGTCCTTTCCCACATTGTGGAGTGTGGCTCGGTGAGGTCACTCCCTGGAGGTAGACGTAGCTGAGATAGATGTAGGCAAGCATGTTGCCTGAACCTTGGGGAGACCTGTGTCTGTCTTTCTCCCCTCCCACTCCACATTGGAGATGCTGAAAGGGGGATACTGCAGGAATTCCCAAGCAGTATAAAGAGGTCCCAGGTGGAAATGGCTTACCTCTTCATACTCCTCATGCTGGGTAAGGCCCCAGGAGAGAAAGCATGGCCTTTTGGAGCCTCCACCCTCGGGATCCAATCCACATTCGGTGTGGCCATGGGCAAATCCCCAAGCTCTCCAAACCTGTTTCCTTCGCTTGTGAAAAGCAGGGAGGGCCAGGCCTACCTTTGAGCATTGTGGATATTGACTATGAATGAGCACCTACCAGCATGCTGGTGCCACACGTAGAACATACAGCAGCACCAGGTCTGGGAGTTTGGGGGTTACAGGATACATGGAGGTGGCTCATTGGGATGGCATGGAGCCGCCAGGCTCTGCTAGTGTATCTCCTCTTCAGTATCACTCCACGGAGGCTGGTAATCTAGGAAATGAACTGTTCCTAGGCCCGTGGATTGCTCTAGCAAATCACTGAGCCTGAGAGTAGGCTGTGGAAGTTGTAGTTTGTAGCTAAGTGGGTGACCTGGCAGCAGCCACTTGTGAGTGGCATCTGAATGATTGATGGATAGTCTATGGCTCTGGTCTATTGGCTAATGTCAAGACTGAACTAAACTGTAAGGAATCACCATATATGTAATCTGCTTCGAGAACAGGAGAAGAGAAAATGCAATATTTGGTTTTTCTAACTAAATAGATGCCACACACAGGAATTATCTACTCAAACAGGTTAAATATGAAGAATAAAGTGACATTTTACAGAACATATCACACCAAAACCAATGCAGGGGCTTTAGAGGTCTCCCACAACTCTGAACACCCCATCTGACAAGGCCTGAGCCAAGTCCTCAGGAGAGCACACACACTGGGCTGGCAGTCACCTACCCCTTCTTCAGGTTCTTCACATATGCGCTCTGGAGGGCAGCTTCCAAGAAGTACGACAGTTCATAGTCAACTGAGAGAAAGCCTTTCAGGTGTCTTGATGTGCTGTTGTTTGAGGTCTGAGAAGGGAAGAGTAAGGGATAGTGGTCACCTAAGAGTTCAGAAGTCCTGCTTGGACACCAGGTACTCCTGACACTTGAACGGCACGTGGCTTGAAGACTGCTATGAAAGAGATAAATGTAAAGTGCTCCTGACATAGCTGTCTGTCGATGACCCAAATGACCTTTGTGAAGGTCAACTCAACCAAATCTCTAAGCAGTCTCTGCCAGAAAAAGGGTTCTGAGTCCTAATTACAGCCTCTCCTCTTTTCTTGATATCCAACCAAGCTGAGAGGCTTCAGGGCGGTGGTACTCCAAAAGGGGTAATGTGGCCCTCGAAAAACATCCCCAGTTCAGAACAAACTGTGAGAGGTACACAACAGTCATGTTGCCACCATCACACAATACTGGGGTGGTCCTCACAGCAAAGAAGATCCCAGACTCAAGTGTCAATAGCACCGAGGTCCAAAGTCCCTTGACTAAGGACATTACTGGCTCAAGGTGGATTGCTCTGGAAGGGCTCTCTATGCGCACAGTTGATCACTGACTAGCATTTATACAGAACAAGTTCAGGTGTCTCCTGGACTCCCATGGCTCTCAGCTCTCATCCACCCTTCCTTCAGGTGCCAATACTAACACATACTGCTAAAGAACCTTCCGGCTCACATCAACCAGATATCTATAAAGCAGAAGTTCTGTCTGTACACCACAAGGATGTACACAAGTATTACAGCTTATGCCTGACATTCTTGCCAGTGCTACCCATTGACTGCAAGAACTTGGTGGGATAGGGGCAGGAGGGGGTAGCTGCTAAGCTCAACCTTCTTCATCTGAAAAACAGGAATAACACAGCATCTATTTTTATCTGGCAGTGAGAGGGTTAAGTGACAAACTGCAGGTCCTCAATATGGGAGGAGGTGAGATTCCTCACAAGGCTCAGTGGGCTGATGCTACCCACATACAGTTAGGACAGGATCACCATGGGAAGGTGGGAACTGTGGGGGCTGAGAACTCAAGTCCTGCTGGCTGCCTCTGTGTCCACCTCTGAAAAGCTTGGAGAATGAGCACCACAGCTCATCTTCCCGGGACGCGCAGCAAAGCTCTCCTGAGGTTCTGGAAAGCAGGGAAGGGTGCTGAATGGTAAGAGTAGGGCTGACTCTGTGCTGTCTTTTGAGGGGCCAGTAATTTGATCTCTCTAACCCTCATTTACTACACAGGGCTGCATGTGCCACCTCTGTCCCAGGGCTGCTGTCAGGAGTGACAGAGTATAAACAGGGGTGTGATATCTGGCCCTGCAAGCTCAGCTCACCATGGAGCTCCTGCTCCCTCACAGGTGACATGGACCCATTTTACTTACTAATTAATTACTTATTAATTAAAAGCTTCCTCTTGTGGTAATGATTCCCTAACAAAACCATAATGAGTTTTCTAACCAAAGAAGTGGAATGGAGAGGAGGTGCCTTCTTCTAATCTCCAGGAGGACAAAGGACATGCTCACAGGACAACATTTATTTGCATAGCACCCCTATTCCCAGCTCACCTTCTCCAGCTCCTGTAGGAACACCTGAGCCACCCAGGAGGCCCTCTCAAAGCAGGCAACCACTTCCTCCTCCCGCTCAGTCAGGCGGATATGGGAGGCGATGGAGTTGGGCAGGCGTTCCAGGGAGAGGCCTGCCGGAGGAAGTACATAGTATGAAGCAGGCCTAAGTCCGTGGAGGGGTGGGAAAAGCTGAAGCAACAGTGGTGTTAGCAGGAGCCAGGACTGAGCAATGACCTAAGAAAAGGCACTGGGGGCCCCACATGGTGAGTCCCACAGTGCCACCTCTGCCCATCCTTGCAGTACAAGATCAGTCCCATGGGTTGTCCCTCTCCTGGGAGTTGTCTGTGTTGACAAGCTATCTGCTTGAGGTGTACACCTGCTGTTCTGGCCCCTATCTTTCGGCAACAGCACCCCTCTTTTCCACTGGCCACCCCTCCACAGCCTCAGCATGGGGACATGGTCACAGGCCAGGGGTAGGAACATGGCCCAGTGTGAGCCCATAGAATTGGTTTCATAATTACTACTCAATTCAGTGGCATTTTTAAGCGGGGGCCAGAGGCTAACCTGGAAATGCTAGAGGGAAATCTGCCTTAAAACATGTCTCGGGCTGGAGAGTTGACTCCACAGTTAAGAGCATTGGTTGTTCTTCCAGAGGCTAAGGTTCTATTACAAACACCATGTGGTGTCTCCCAAATTTTTATAACTCTAGTCCTGGGTGATCCAATGCCCTCTTCTTACCTCAGTGGGCACCAGGTAGGCATCTGGTTCATGGACATACATACAAGCAAACCATTCACACACATAAAATAATAAATAAACCTAAAAAATTTTAATGTCTAGCCAGACTTAGGGACATATCCTTATAATCTTAGCACTCAAGAGGCTGAGGCAGGAGGATCATGAGTTTGAGGACTACCCAAGACAACTAACTAATATCTCACTCATCTCAAGAAAAAAAACAAACCTAAGCCAACCAAACAAAAATAATGTCTACATGGAGTGAATATAAATGACACTACTAAATTGTATCCATTAAAATGAAAAAAATTTATATCGTCATTTTCTTTACTACAGTTAAAATGTATTTAAAATAATAAGCAGATAGCTCCAAGGGTCAAACAAAAGCTAATAAATCAATCTGCAAAAGACAAAGAAGAAAAAGCATTGTTGGACATAGTGGTGGAGGAGAGAGAAAGTCCACACAGAATGATGACCAGACATTGCCTAAAAAGAGCAGACTCTAAAATAGTGTTGGAACACCAGGATGCTGCTTTTTCTGAAGCTCTACCATTTGAAAAGTCCAAGTATGAGCCAGCACCCATCCACCCACCCACATACATGCTGTTTCCTTCTTTATTCCCCCCTCCCTGTTTTAAAGAATGGATTAGGAACAGTCCTCTAAGCCTCACCAACTAGCTTGTCCTTCCCCCCCTCCCCAGCCTGCATCTCTCCAGGGGGTGGCCACCATGGCCCACTACCTGTGGTCTCACTTTGCTCTTTCCCCAACTGCACACTGCTTCCAGGGACCATTCCAAAGTCCCCAGAGGTCTTCCTGCTTAAGAGGATGCCTAAATTCATGGTGCTTCACACTGCACCCTCTGAGACCTCTCTGGATCACCTCTCCAGCTTCTTTTTTTACTCCATCTACTTCATCCATCACAACTTCCTGCTCCTGGCTGCTGGAGATGCTATCCTAGCTTGCCTGAGCTCTTCTCACCTGGCATTACCACCCTACCAAGTCCCCAAGGCTACCAGTCACCTACTGATGCCAGCTCTTCTTGGAGGTCTTCTAGAACAAATCTCACCCTGGTTATACTTCCCACGCCTCACTGTCTCGTACTCATTTTCTGTTTGACTCCCCAGTAGGTTGTAGGCTCCCTCTAGCCCCAGCCTAATGGTGTTCAGTGGCCCCCACCTGGCACAGAGTAGGTACCAGACAAGTCCAGGCTGTCTGAGTGGGAAAAGCAGCCCAGTCATGGCTGTACAAAGTGCTCTGCAAATACAAGGAAAGGAATTAGCATTATTTTTCTTGGCTAGATATCAACACATACAGATTCGATGACCTTGCTTTACTTGCCAGGCCAGAGTATGACCATGTCTGAAGGCTGGGAACTTCAGCCTAGGGGGAGGTGGATACAGAATGGGAAGGCCATTGCTCAACACAAAGGCCCAGTTACCCTGGTCACTGAGTGTCAACATGGTACCTGCCAAGTGACTCACTTTGAAGAGGAGAAGGCTCCTCACTCTGGAGGACCAGAGAGGAGGAAGAAAGCAAGCAGGCAGCAGGCTCCATGACCTCTTCCATAGCTGGCCTTGTTCCCGGGTATGCTGCTTGTCACCATGCAGAGGGTGGGACAAGAACAGAGTTGTTCAAGAAGACCAGCCCAGACGACTAGCTGTAGGTGACATGGCCGATTCCAAGAGATACAGAGTGAATCTGCTCCAAGGCAGCAGTCTTGTGGTCCCCAGAGTCTCTACCGTGCTATAGTGGACTCCCCTCTGCACACTTCTGGTCAGACTGCTGGCCCCAGTCTCCCATAGTCTGGCTCCAGCAAGGTGAACTGATGACACAGGCCTGGGGGCCTCCACCTTCCCTGTGCTACAACTGTCCCCATTCCCTGCTCTCCACTCCCTCCCATTTGAACCTTGCCACCATGTGTTTTCCAAGAATTGTAAGGCCATTGTTTCTAGTACGCTCAAAGCAAAAGTTACCTCTTCCCTGACACTTTCTTTGATGTTTAGTATAAACAGGCAAGTTGATAACAAATTGAGCACGTCTGTAAAAAGGATTTTCTGGACTGGGTAAACTGAGGTAGAAAGACCCACCCCAGATGTGGACAGTCTGTTCTATGAGCTGTGGTTCTGGAACAGTATTCACTGCTCTGTTTGCTGACTGGGAAGGTACCGTGGCCAGCAATGCCTTTGCTTGCTTTCATTTCTGTACCAACCTTAAGCTGGAATAAACCCTTTCTTCCTTGAGTTGCCTTTAACAGGGATCTGTCTCAGCAAGGAGGAAAGCAACTAATCCTCTCTCCCGAGGTTAAGTTCCCTTCCCTCTGACTCAGTAGAGAATGTGAACTTTGTGTTTGTCTTGGTTGTTCTGGGATGAAGTCAGACTGGCACATCCTAGGGGGAGCTCTATTAGTGTTCTAAATCTCCCGTGCCCCTCGCTTCCTGTGTCCCTTGCCTCCTGTCCCTCTTCTCCCATGCCCCTCGTCTTCCGTGTCCCTCGTCTCCTGTGCCCTGCGCCTCCTGTGCCCTGCACCTCTCAAAGCCTGTTGCTTAGAAAGAACATGGAAAGGAGCACACAGAAATGAGCAAAGTCAGGCATGCTGACGGTGGTGTCTGGCAGGGAGAGCCTCCTCCCTCCATTAAACAAAACAAAACAAAACAACAACAACAACAAACTGCTTCTTGAAGAACTCACTAACAAACCACAGCAGATTCCTGAGGCCTTCTCCTCCATAGCCAGGCCTGTTTGCTGAGACCCTTGTCTCAAAAAATGTAAGATGGCTTCTAAGAATAAGATCCAAGACTCTGACATGCACATGCATCTGCAGAAGCACATGTGTGCAGCCACACAATACATATATGCAAGCAAACATAGGCACACAAGGATACACACACACACACACACAGATTAATTTCTTTGAAGTTATAAGGCTGGAAAGATGGTTCGGACATTAAGAGCACTGGCTGCTCTTCCAGAGGACCCAGGTTCAATCCCAGCTCTCACATAGCATCGAACACCTGTAATTCCTGGGACTGGAGTTATAGATGGCTATGAGCCATCATGTGGGTTCTGGAAAGTGGATGCGATCCTCTGGAAGAACAATTCATGCTGTCTACCACTGAGTCATTCCTCTTCAGAGCCTGTGAGATAACTTCCAACAAGCTTAGACCAATAAGATTCCCAAAGCCAGAAATCCTGGGGACTAACTGCCAAGAAGACCCACTTCCTGCCCACGATATTTGGAGACCTATACCAATCCTGAGGGTTCTCCCCCTTTCCTGTGAGTCCGTCTGCACAAGTGGCTAAACAACAGCATAGCACCAGGTCCAGGCAGAGGACTGGAGTTCTGGAGCCCACCTCAAAGGTTCCTGGCAGCTGTGGACCAATTCTGTGCTCTGGGCAGGAAGCCAATAACCCCCAGGAAGTGCCAGGCACTAGTTCCTGTGTCACACTGGCAAATGGGAACTTTCTGTGAAAACACACAAAACCACAAGGAAAAGCCCCTTTGAAAGCAACTCTGTATTTTTCAGATCCTTTCCCAGGGCTTAGCACATGGTCCTGGCTCCTTCAGTACAGGCTGACTCATCAACCGCTGTAGCAGGCTTTCCAACAAGGCCTACCCTTGAAGCCGTGGGCCCTAGATACAGAAGTGGAGACAGGAGGCTTCCTTGATAAAAAATTCCCTTTCCCAAAAGGTAGCAGTCTCCACCCACCCTCCAATGAAAGAGTAACCACAGCATCTACAGAAGACATTGAATTTTGTGTTTACCAAGCATGGCCACCCTGCGTGCATGGCAGGAGAAAGGAGGAAGGAAACACAGTTTACTCTTTAACCTAAAGGTTGTCACAGATCACACTCAAAAGTGGGCAACTGTGGGAACAGGAAAAGATGGAGAACAAAACGGTGCAGCTAGTTAGCAGTAGCATCACAAGCTCCAGGATCACATGGATCAGCTCCATGTGTGACCACAAGAACTGAACTGAGGAGGTTTCTACATCCAGAATCACAGCACTAGTACCTCTAACAGCCCTAACGGGGAAATGCCAAGTATCCATTGATGAGGACTGTACATCATTAACAGCCAGACAAAAGGATAAATACTATGCAATTCTAATTAAGTAAATTCAATTTCAGAGAGAAAAAAAAATAGTCACCAGGGGTAAGGGATGCAAAGAGGAAGTATTGTTTAATGAACGGAGTTTCTGTTTTATAAGAAATAGTTCTAGAGATTGATTGCACAGCACTGTCTAACCAATGCTGAAATGCATGCTTTATTTTTTCATTGTTTGTTTCTTTGAGCCAGAGTCTCTGTATCCCAAACTCCATCCTCCTATACAGCTGAGGATGGCCTTGAGCTCCTGATCCTCTTTGGGTGCCTCTACTACTGTAATACTGTT